TTGAAATTCGTGTTTTAGCCTACTTGCGAGTAGCAAACTTCAAACTATTTCCAAACAAACGGATATGCGATGCTTTGTTCCAAATTAGGCGATCTAGTCTATACTTGTGTGTTGTGCGCATCACATAGTAATTCTAGCTAATTAACCCGAATAAGAACACATATGTTTTTAAAACAAAATATCATGCTTAGTACAGGCCAATCTACAGATTGGGCGAGCGGGGGTGCTCATAGATGACCTTCCCCAATTGTACCCAAGCTCCCGAGCCGAGACAACTTTGGTGATGACGGACACGTGGCCTTAGGCAACGAGTCAGGGTTTCCTAAATTCCCCCAAAATAAAATATTTAGGTGGCGACTCTGTATTTGGCAAAGCAGTCCATGTTTGACACTTCTTTCTTAAAAATTAGTTTTCCAAAACGATTTGCCGGATTTGGACTCTTTGGTGATTTATCGGTCTCGTATTGCACTTTGCGGGATTAGATTCAGAACTGTGACATTTGAGTCTGAATTGTAGTAGTATGAAGCCCAAGGGCGTGTCTATACCATCCTATAAATTGCAGCCAAATTTGTTCAAAAAATGCGATGAAGTTGTACGTCGTATAATTCGGATGATGAGAAGTTTTATATAGGAGGGCACAGGTTGCCACTCCGGAATAACGATATCCGCTTCATATTTGGTGTGCAATGTGGGAAGGACAAATTGGATGTGTTGTATGCGACTAAACCCCCGTCAAATTTTGTGCAACGACGGAGCCCCTATGTCATCTTTGAAAATCATAAAAGATCTATTGGTTGCAGCGCTGAAGGGCAAAACAGAGCGTGATGAGGACGACGTTGCGAAGCTTATGTGTTTGTACATCTGCGCTAAGTTATTATGATGGTGCAACGCAAACACTCTCCCCTCTATCCCCCAATCTAAAAGTATCTACATATTTATTTAATTTTTTTTGGGTGCCAACTTGGCGATAGAGTTTGAGAGAAAACAATGTTAGTGCTTAATGTTATGGGATGTTCTTGTGCTATTTTTTGTTGGATGACATTGAAAATATTAGGTTGCAAATTTAGTGACAAAACAATGTTAGTGCTTAATGTTATGGGATGTTCTTGTGCTATTTTTTGTTGGATGACATTGAAAATATTAGGTTGCAAATTTAGTGACGTATAATTTTGTTGGTACACAATTTTTGGCCGATTGATTATAAATTACGTTTTTGATGAGCACTTTTGTCAACACTGTTATCATTACATTGCATGGATATGGTTAAATTTAAGTTTAACAACACAGCTCACCTTTTAATTGCTAGCAATGGAATGATTCAAATTGCACAACAAACATTGTTGATGCGTGTTAACATTGAAACGTTACTTAAATTTGATGTGGGTCGACCATGTTATTTCACTACCTGATAATGTGTTGAACTCTTGTCATTTTGTTCTCTTGTAAAGTTTGACGAATGTTGTGCAATGCGACCCAATCACACCTAATACGCGCTGTGGACGGAAAGGGTGGGGGTAAAATTGCACAGTTAAAATATCAAAAAAATAATGGAAATCTGTGAAAATGTTCCAACTATTCTGTGTAACACTACATGTGAATGGCAACTTGCAACATCAGCTACAATGTGGAAATCAACCCAGCCAACCAAAAAATAGACTGCCATAGTGTAATGAGTTACGACTATTACAAATAGGTAAGATGGCATAGTGTAATTGTCTACCAATGTAATGGATTGCCATACTCCATCCAATAAAAATCAACAGTAACATACGAACAATATGGGAACTAGTAATGCCGTATCGGTAAATGAAATATGACTAATATATGTGAAGATATTGTTGATGCTTATTGATAAAGTTAACATGCACTATTGCAACGTCAACATAAACAGACATAATGTAAAAATTTGAAAAATGTTTTGCGAATTTAATGGGACACCACAGACTTCTAGCAAATCGAAAAAAATAGTCATCACATCACATAAAATAAAAAAATAAAAATAAAATTGCAAAACAACCCACCGTAAAACACACACACAAAAATGAGAATCTAAAACATTACCCTCTACATCATTATGAACACATCAACAAAAAAAAAGGTTCACACCAAATCTCACCAAAGGGTAAATGTTTAAACTCCACATATGCCAAATCAACTGTAATTATTCCTTATTAATTAAATAGGACCAAATGATTTATAAAAAAAAAAACAAGATTAAATGGATTAATATTTCTTAATTTGGGATTTCCTAGTGATTTTTCTTTTTTTTTTAATATAATTTTGCCGGTGTGTAAGTCATGTGACCGATGCGGGTCAACCCGCTCCGACCCGTCTGTAGCCGTCCATTTTCTTTTCCCTCTGTTCGGCATTCTTCTTCTGCGACCGCTTGCTTGCTAGTATGCTCGCGCGTACACACATTTTCAGATATACATTCAAATTGTTTGGTCGAATCGAATACAAACATCTCTCTCTCTCTCTCTCTCTCTCCTCATCAGGTCTGGACACATGTGTTTTCCTCTATCTCTGAAGAAAAAACCTCTCTGGCTCTGTTCATATACATATACGTTTTTTAGGAAGTGATTGAATTGAATTTCTAGGGTTTCAATTGCTCTGTTATTAACTAGCTTTTCAAGTATTTTTAGTTCACGTGTGTGTGTATATGCTAGATTTGATTTTAGTTGGAAAATGACAATGTTATCGATTGAAGTCCCTTCTTCTTCTGACAGATAAGTATGAGGGAAATCGTGACTATCCAAGTTGGAGGTTTCGCAAACTTCATTGGCTCTCACTTCTGGAACTTCCAGGTACACTTGATTATCTCCTTGATTCTTCACAAGTTTTTTGTACAATTTTTTCCTTTGATTCCCCCCCCCCCGCCCCCCCCCCCAATATAATTTGAGTAAAGCTTGATTTGATATAAACTAACTCCAACCATTTCATCAAAATCTTTTTAAAAATTCCCCTCTCATCCCAAATTTCCCTACTCGTTAAATCTGATGAAAGAAAATCATCTCTAATGCTTTATCTTTTTAAATTTTTATCAAATTCAAATTTGATGAATTCTCAATTTGATGAAAAAAAATGGTTCTCCCTTGATGTGATAAACATTTGATGAAAGGATTGGAGATGGTTTTTGAGCATTTTTTCATCAAATTTAAATTTGATGAAAAAAAAAAAGGGGTCAAGGATTGGGGATGCCGTTATGTTTCTTAATGTAACTTTCTTTCTTTACATACATGTCGTTTGGTTATTGTTCCATTGTTGCTAATAGGGTATTTAGGTTGGGAAGGTGCAGAGTAGAAGTGATCAGTGGCCTAGCCAGGGTTTTTACACAATGGGGTCAAAGCAAGAGCTAATTATTCTTAAATTGTTGCTTCAATGAAATTTAGGAGTTCATGAACATACATTTCTTTTGCCAGATTAACAAAATTATTCTATGTAATTAAATTTTAGAGCATTTACACACAAGTTCTAATTTATGAACTTATACTCCATTAAGTCCTACCTAATTAAGATTTTTTAGGCCTTCAAGTCTCATTAAATTTTTAATAGTCAGAATTGCCCTTCAAATAATAATTGTTCATCATTTATGATTATCTATAAAGGAACATGATGATTTGACATTTATTTTGATTTTCAAATCTTTAAAACATCAACTTTCAAATTGAAAAAACTAAAAAAAAAATTATGTGCAAAAAAAAAAAACTATATATATTTTTTTGAAAAAATTGAATTATTTTTTTGTGCAAAACTAAAAATTTTGTGTCTATAAAAAAGCATGATGATGGAACATTAATGTGCAAAATTGAAAAAAAAAAAAACTGATAATGTTCTTAGGCTTTTTAAGTTTTAAAAGTGGAAAAAACTGATAATGTTTTCGGTTTTATTAGATAGTTGAATCAAACCAATAAGTAGAAGGGTAAAAACGTTTAATCACATACTCTGTTTTTTTCCCTCAGTTTGTGAAACAATTATCTGGAATATTACTATGTAAAATTGATAATGTTCTTAGTTTTAAAAATTAAAAAAACTGATAATACTCTCAATTTTACTAAATAGAACTTATTAGTTCAAAAAATCTTAGAAAGAATTTGAGCTACCATAACATTTGTAAATAGGACTTTTAGGTAATTAACTCTTAAATTTCTAACAAAGTCTTAATTTACAAAATTATTTCAAATGCCCCCTAGACACTAAACACAAAACACATTTTCTCACTCTTTCTTTTTTCTCTCATTTTAAACAAACAGATGGATGAGGACATTAACGTTTTGTGCATGTGTATCCTTTAAAATGGGTTAACATTATTTTAAAATAATTTGAAAAAATTGGGATGTTTCAAAATTTTCTTTAAATATTTATTTTCAGATTTTATGGAACTAGTATGTCACTTGTGGATATATAAAAGTTAATTAGCATGTCACTTCTGGTCTGGATAAAAAAAAGTTTTCCCTCATACCCTTTGTTTTTCATTACATCATTAGCGGGTGAATTTTAAAAAATTATGTACTTGTGATTTTTTTTAATCAGTAAAAACGTATGAAAATAGAACCCTAAACATTTTCAAATTAGAGAGGGGAGTCAAGTGAATCCACTCAAATATATGTAGCTCCACTCTTCGAATTTAAAAGCCTCCTGAGCTTGTTGCTTCTTATAATTAAAGTTACATGCTTTGGGCTATTTGGGTAAACATATTGGATGAGATGTGAGTGTGTGTTACATGTTGGGTTCATCTGCTCCAGAAACGTTATATATTTAGTTTTAGATGTGAGTTATGCACACTCTTACCCATGTTCTGTCGTGTTGACAATTTTACACCACAGTAAGGAGTCTGTGCTATGGAACTTAAAATCTATCACTCAGGTTTGATTGAAAAAATTCTCTCAAACACTTTTGTGTGGTGTCTGTGGTGCTGTTGAGAAAGCATCTATTGATGCTGAATTGATCTCTATACCACAAAGGTGTTGTAAGTGGTTATTTGTTGTTTTCCACCTCAAGAAGAATTAGTGAAGCTCTTGTTTGCACTTTGAAAGTTTGTCACTTTCTGGGAAATTCAGGTTTGTCCATTATTGGTGAGCCTTCATGGACATGGAACTTCAAATTAATTATATGCAGTTCAGTGAATGAGGTTGAGATGAGAGTGAAGTTGAGACACCTTAATCATGCTTATGTATAATTGGAAATGACTGCAACAAGGGCCAGTGATGGAAGGCCTAGAGACACTCTCATATTGTATAACATGTTTAAGATCTGTCAACATTTGCCATCGTTTTTGGACCTTGCATCCTCCTATGTGCTTCAGAATCTTCTTAGCAGAAGGAGAGGTATTTTGAGATTTCTGAAGGGCTTAATAGTGGGCCTGGCATTCCATTATAATTAGACTAATTGCTTCATAAATAGCATATGCATTTTCCTTTGTTGCTTGCTATGTAATGGGATTGATTTTCCTTACACACGAGTCTCTAAAATATTTTTCTCTTGCCCTTCTGGCTATTAGAAGGCAGCAGGTCTTTCCTGTATGTTAAACTTATCAACTGGTCGGTGGTTCTTGTTAGATATGCTGCATCAAATCATGATTTACATGTTGAAGTTATGTAGACACGTGTTTACATATTTTGCTGCAGTTATTATGTCATGCTGTTTTTCTTGCAAATACAATATTAAATAAAATATTGAGTGGCTGTGTGTAATATTGAAGGATGAATTGCTTGGATTGGCTGAGGACCCCCAGAGTGACGCAGTCTTCAAAAATCAAGGTCTTAATATGGATGTGCTATACCGTACTGGTGAAACACAACAGGTGGGAAGTTTTGACATTAAGTTCTTGCAATCTACGGGAGCATTTGCATAAATTGGTACATTTATTTGAAAATTAAAATAAATTTCTAGGTTGATATATTTAATTTTGTTGGCTATATACATGGTGGATATCTTTTTCCTTTATGTGGGTGAGGTTGCATTAGTCAATTTGATAAAGCCTCAATTCCAAGTCCTTGGGGCTACAGAATCATCTTCTACCATTCAGCTCTGTTTAGAGCCATGTCTCTCTGTTCTCTTGTGTAATGGGTATACCATTGTCTGTTCTCTAATTTACACATTTAATTCTTCATTGTGGTTATCAGACATGCACCAGTAGTTTGCTAATTCAATATCCAGTGATTTTGATGACTTTCTTTAACTACTTCTCAGTTGTAAAGTTTTGTACAGATTGCATTTATGTCATGTTGTTTATAATTGAGTCTTAATCATGTGCAGGGAATCCTTACATATACCCCTCGCTTGCTTTCCATTGGTTTTCAAGGTACTTTGACCTAGTTGTAATGTTGAGTCTTTGTTCAAACATCTTGTGTTTCTGCTAGGCTATGGGATGTACTTTATGTTCATGCATCTTCTCTTTTTTGGTGCTCTATGCATTCTTCAGCTTATATCATCTACTCTAGGTTCTCTGTAAATTTTTGGTTCCTAGTGAGCCTTGTACTAGTGGTTTTCAGTTTCAGCTACTTCCTGAACATGTTAATCATGCATGAGGGCATTGAGGCCTATGCTACTGCTGAACCCTCAACGTTGCTCTGCTACCTCTCCACGAATTTTCCCCCTTTTTCCCCTATTACAAATATTTTTTTTGGTTGGCAAATAGGGGACCAAACTTGAGAATAATGGTTATATTGTGGAATATCCTTCTGAAAGTACGCATAAGATGGTTGCACTTGATGAGACATTCATGGATATAATTTTGGAATGACAATGCACAATCAACAAATTTGTTTAATACAGTGTTTTCCCCCGAATGTTTTCTTGGAAGAATTAAATACATTGCTACATTAGTTAGACTCTGCATTCCTCCTTCCTTGGTCGTAGATGAAATCTTGTGAATGTAAGAAAAATTAGAAAGAGGAAATAAATGAGAATATCAGACCTACCAAGTGGCATTGAAAATGTCAACAAAAGTGGGCAAACCCAAGCAGCGGTTGGGCATTGAAAAGTCCTTTAAAATGGACAAGCTCAGGCAACCGTGCCACTTACAGATATCATCCATCCTTAGGGAGAGACTTTCATTCTATTATCTATTTAATAGTTGTTGTTGTTGTAATCAATGTCTTTAACTTTCTCAGATTAAAATTTTTGCCATTTTAGAGGAGAAGCAGATGAATTGACAGAATTTTAAGTCCATGAATGGAAATAATTTTGACTATGTTATTGGGAAAATAAAGAAATGGAGATACTTCAGGAGTGCAACCAATTATGAAACAAATTCTGAAGTCAATTGAATATGAAGATTTTTTTGACACTTACTGGGGGAGGATGGTCATGAGAGTGCATGTGGGGAGATTGGACGGCGTCAAAGGTTTCCATGTTTTATGGAGTTGGCCTTTGGCAGGGTATTAGGAAGGGATGGAATGATAATCAGAAGTTCGTTGTCGGTAATAGTTCAAAGGTCCCTTTTTGGAGGCATCTTTTGTATGGTTGGAGATGACTTTCCTACCTTTTGCTAGGATTATGGTGGATAGATTTAGCGACTATCTCAGGATGGAAGGGAGTTGGGTTTTTTTGGGACATTGCTTTCCAGTGTAGTTTCAATGACTAGGAGGTGGAGTTGTTGGCTCTCCTTGGGCTAATGTGCCGAATGTGGGAGAGGGAGAGGATGCTTTACTTTGGGTGAGGTTGAAGGCCGACAAGTTTGAGGTGAAATCTTACTATGGTGTTTCGATGGGATGGGCTTCGTTTGGGAATAGACTAATTTAGTAACTTTTTGATTTTTTGACTAAAATATGAGGTAAAAAAATTAGTATGTTCGGGATGACTTTTTGACTTTTTACGAAAAGATGTGTAAAAAGTAGAGAGAACAAAGAATATTTGACTTTTTGGTATAGTTTGTTGGCTTTTTGTTTTTTTAGTGACTTTTTGACTATTAAACTAAAATTGAATGTTACCAAACGAGATAGATGTTTCTTTTGCTAGAAGGGTATTTGGGGAACAAAATCACCTTTGAAGGTTGTGTTTTTCGTTAGGACAATGACACATAGTAAGATTCTCACTATTGACAATCTTATCCGGAGAAAGCATTCATGCGAATTAGTGCTGCTCATTTATTGCTTAGTGGCTAGAGAGTTGTGGACTTTGGTTCTTGTTTTGGTTGGTATGTGTGCATTCTGGAGTTGTTGAATTCTTGTAAGGGGGCTAGGGTGGGTAGGAGAAGGAGAAGGTTTGGTGCCTTGGTTTTGATGTGGATTATCTGGGGAGAACGCAATAGGAGGTATTTTGAGGGCGTTGAAATCCCTATTGTTAAATTGAAGAGTATAGTTTTATTTAGTTTTTATAGTTGGTTCTCAAGTGCAGTGGTGTTGATCGTTCCTTGAACCATTTTTTTTTAAAAAACTTTATTGAATTTGTTGAGTGGATTTACTATTTAGGTGAATTCTTTCGTTCAGTTTTTGTTTCCTTTTTAATACAATTTACTTATAAATTTCTTGCGAGGGGCATGATTTTTGCAGAAATTTAAGCGATTTTCAAGTTTTGATGTGCCTGGCAGATGTATCACGAAGTTTCCTGGAGATACACTCAAAAAACATTAAACTGAATTGTGGAACTAGCTGTTTAGCCATTTATACTGGGAAAGCTAATTAGTTTTGACTAGTCTTCTTAAAGATGCTACTTCCATGTTGTGTTTATGCATGGTGTATTGATTACCATCTCCATCAATGTCATTGCCACTTTTGCTCAAAATTTGGAAGTAACTCAAAAAAGATTGGAATCATTTTAGAGCTTCACTTGTCATTCTTGTACGTACTAATCGAAGTGTAAAAAATAAATTGATGTATATTATTGATTGATGTCTTCAATTATGTCACCTGTATATCAATATTAACGTGAAGGTACAAAATTAAGAAAAGTTTGTGGAAGTTTTTGAACAAATGTTCAAACTTCAAAGTATCAATTAGCACTTTTGTAAACCTCAAAGAGGACATTTATCCACAAGAAAATCTCATTCACCAGAAGACAAAGTTCAGAAAGGTTGAAGTGCTCAAAGAAAAGATAGTTTAAAATCCTATAGTTGTTTGATGGCTTGATGAAGTCAATGATATCAGAATTTATTTATAATTTTTTCAGCTTTTACTTTTTATCAGTCTTTTTAATTTGCTTATTTTTTACTGTTTCGAAGTTGATGGAATCTCAGTCACCAGTTTGAAGTTGATGGAATCTCAGTCACCACAAGTTACCTGTGGAAAACCTTATTGACTGTCTTGTATTCTTTTATTGTATATTGAATTTCCTTGTTGATGTCAATATAAATTACACTTTTCTTCTCCAAACATATTTATTTTAGTCTATGACTTTGCAGGATCCCTTGGATCCATGAGTTCACGTGGTACATTGTACAATGAGATCCAATCTGTACCATCAGATGTTGTCACTTGGTAAGAATTTGCTTTTTAGTTTTCTACATTGATGTGGTGTGTTATTAATGCTGCTTATGATATGTAGGGTTTTTTAATCTAACATATTGATGTATTTTGAAAGAGTCATTCTTATAAACAATTGACAACCATTTTGATAAGATAGCATGACCACCTGCAATATTCATATAAATCACTACTGCCTTTTGAGGTGATGTGTTAAAGAGTTTGTCTGTTTGACTTGATTGGAGAAGTCTCATACATAAATCCTGACGCTAGCAATCTATTGACCTCTTTGCCATTGCTTTATTTATGTTGCTCAAGGTGAAGAGCAATGGCAGAAACATATGTTGAAGATGATTCTTGTCATGGAAAATAGTTTCCACAATTAGCCTTTTTCTTGTATGATTTACCTATAGAAGACCTGGTTCAATTTTAGAAAGGTTATATGAGATTGCAAACATCATTTTCCATGTGATGATATTTATCCCATTACTCTTGTAACTCTTGGTTAAAGCATGGGCAGGGTGCCTTGGAGGCTCCACAGGCTAGTGCATGCTTGTGTGTCTATGTGTGCACATTCACATGCATATGGATGTGTGTACTAGGTATTAGGTATCATGTCTGCCCAACTGGCATTATACATGTTCTCTTAACATAATTTTTGGAGTTTCAATCATTGTGTCATAGGTTTGCTATATTGGTTCAGACATGAACTGCTAATGTTCATGTGGAATGTATGTATATTATGTATGATTCTGCTTGTGCTTGTAAAGTATGTACTAGAGCCTGCCAGATAACTTTTTCCAATGTTGCTGTGTGTTCTGTTAGAGCTCCAGTTTATGAGTAGGGCTTCGGATTTATCTTTCTGTGCAAAAACAAGCCCATCCTTTGGAAATTTGTAATAATGCATACATTTCTTAACTAGCATGATGGTATTATGCAATTAACATGTCTTCCAACTTTGAAGGCAATCAATTTTATTGCTTTACATTAAGCATCAAAGGAATGATGATACAAACTGTCCTTTTGATAACGTCTCTCCAAGTTGTTTGAAACAACAAAAAATTTCCTCCCCCAACAATTGGGATGATGATTGTGGTTATAAATCCCCATGAATGTCTTAGATCTATAGATTCTGCTAGTTATTTAAAATTTTAATTTGCATGATGGCATCACACATGGTAGATCAGTTCATCTGTTCTTCAAATGAAAAACATTCCGGCATTCTTTGACAAAGTTCACAATAAACACCACCCATTATTCTAGATAGAAAATGAGTTTAGATGGCTCTTTGAAGTACTGAATCCAAAAGTACCGTCGGGCTTAAACATAAGCAGACTCCTACCTACGTTCATTCATTCCAGCTTGTTCAGAAGTGTCTAAATGGGAATGTGTTTGGGAAAAGAAAAAAATAAACATTTTTGAAGTCCTGACACAGTTAGAAGGAAAATATGAGTGGAATTTCTCATTTTTCAGTCAACAGTTGTGTGATCAAAATATATTGTAGTAGCACAAGGAAAGGAAATTTCTTATGAAGACTATTCAAGAAACTAATTATAAGAATCTTTGTGAGTGTAAAGCACTTTCATTTATCTAATAGCAGTTAGATTTCTAAAGCATCTTATTGGAGATGACTTACTGCTTGAAACATCCTTAGAATGAAATATAAGAAGGCCTAAAGCTATCTTACATGGGCTTGGGTATGGGTGTTGGGTGCAGGTCTGTGTAGTATCAGATTCATCCAAATTCTTATGCTCAAGAATACAAGATGTGGCTAGAATTCATATGAATTAACTTTTTCTTTAGGGGCTTTTTTATTTTTATTTTTTAAAAGTTAAAATAGTGCTTACAAACTAATATAGAGCATTTTATGTATAAAATGGAAATCTTATGCACAATTGTATTGTAAACCTGACTACTTAGACATACTTGTTGGCATGTTTAACCAGACATGCTGGACACGTATCCTATACTTTTACCCAAGTGTTGAGAGTCCAACATGGATACTTCACAAATTTGGAAGAGTCTATGTAACATACGCCTAAGTATCAAAATTAGCTGACCAAGCTCCTGATATGATGTTTTACCATTAAATGTTGATGAGTAAGGTTGACATATGGAAGTTTTGGTGGAATTATGAATCAGTTTTTATTTCTTATCACTATTCAATGGCTGCAATCACTTCAAAACATTGTCATTTTTTTTTTCGAATTTAATTTTTTTGAATATGAATTTATTTTGTGAAAGAAAGAGATTATAGAGGTCATGGTAATTTAGTATAAACTTATCTCTGAAATGGCAATTGCTATTTGAGATGATACTCTCTCTAGATCAAACTGTTAGTAATATAATATAATACCTAAATATAGTGCAACTTTCGGTGGACATCATCATAGCATTGTTAGTAATATATAATTGTATATAATTGTAGCATGCTTTCCTTTACCTTTAGCATTTTCGGTGGGCATCCTCCAAGGCATCCGAGGCATCCATTTCTCTCTATAAAAGAGAGTGCCTTCTCTGTGTAATAAATATTCAATACATCAATAATAATACATACAATTTATTCTCTCTGTATTTCTCTCTTTATTCTCTCTTTATACATCAACTCTAATACAAACATCATTTGAATAAAAAGCACATGAATTAAATTGTGAAGTTGATGTATTCTATACTGATTTCTTATATCCATTTCTTAGCATCAGTGGATGCTAGCTTCACTTATCCTTAATCGATGACATTTAGACAAGGGGAATGGATATATTACTATTTTCCCATGATAATAGCAAGTTTGAAGTTACTTGGATCGGTAAGAGTTGAGTTTTAATGACTAGGACCTAACATTCCCTTTGCTAACATGCAGGATTGCTGATCTCTCTACTCATGTATCTGAACCTCGCAAGAAAAACTTGTTTTTGCAAAGTTTATACAAAGAGGAGCAGGAGAAATCACATATGATGAATGGTAACAATAGCGGGAAGCATGATTTTCATAGTGACATTCAAGATAAGGATATAGTTGAATCTCTAGAAAATGAGGTTCAATATTGGACAGACTTTTCAAAAGTTCACTATCATCCCCAGAGTCTATACGAATTAAATGGATTATGGACTGATGTTCAGCAATTCAACAATTATGGTATTGGCAGGGATGCCTTCTCTGAGGGTCTGCGAGGAGAAGAAATAAATGAGAGGCTTCGTTTTTTCATAGAAGAGTGCGACCATATCCAGGTACTTAATGAGCAGAACCCCTTAACCATGATATATTTTTAAATTTTTATAATTCAACTATGACAATTACCAGGAAGGATGATATTATAGGTTTGGCAAGATTTGTTATTCTTTCTTGCATGTTTGCTGATATTTATAGTTGGTATAACATTTTCATGTCCTATTGTATAGATGGAAATGTGATTTTAAGCAAAAATACCCTTGGTATGCCCAATGGTTGTGTTTAATGATAGTGTCTGGTGCCATTGACAATATATCGTGCAGTTATATTCCGGGAGAAAGGTTCTTTCTTTTATCTGTGTGAAGATGGAAAGTACAAAGATGAAGCCTAGAAAGTAATGTGTCTTTTAATTATTTATTAGATATATAAGAAATTTGACTTTCATTCAGTGGATTTAACTTTTGGAACTTCCTTTATCTTGCAGTTATCCGTCCTTTTTTTCTTTTTGGTATGGAACTGGTGCCAACCTTCCATACCAAAGCTCTATAGGAGCTTTACTAGTGAGGGTGTGAGTGCCTCCCTAAATATATATGCCCTCCACGTATGCAACCTGGTATTTGTTGAAGGGAGGCAGGGCGGTACATTTGGCTATGGGGCTTGTGGTTTTTGCCACTTAAATTCATAATTGATATCTAAAAGTGCTTCTACATTTTATGTTAAATGAGATGGTGTCAGAAATAATAACAGACAGAGCCTGAACCTGACACCTCTGACTTTTTCTTTTTCTTTTTTTTTTCTCTGGTAAGTAAATGTGTATATATAAATATATATTTCTGGTAAGTAATAGCTTCTAATTTAGTAAACACTAAATATTTTATTAATCCACTTCACTTGATATCAGACTATTATTACGTTCAGCTCAACAGACCTTAGGGTCTGCTAAATGGATCTGTGTCTCAGTTGGTGCTATTAATACTGTTTTTTCTTACCTCTAAGTTGCACATTTAATACTTCATTAATGCTGGACTATTAAATTCTGGTAGAATTTTAAGCCAATCTCATATATAAAGCAATATGGCATCTAAACAGTGCTTTGTTGCTACATGCATTGCTTGAGGTCCTTTTATTTAATTGAACAGATTGTGATGTTCTATACAATGGCCCCACTATGCACATCTTGTATATGAAAGAGGTGGTCAGGTATTTTAGACTTGTGAATATTGTGTTCTTTTGGATGCCAATTCCTGAGGGTCTATGATCATGAATTTTTCCGAAAAGCTTTTCATGGATTGCGGTTCATGGTTGCTTGATAAACGCATTGTCGTTTGCAAATTCTCTGTCTTTCTAATAGAAGTTTGGTTCAAACCGGTTTTCTATACACTCTCTGAAACTGAGATCCTCTGCATGGATTCTGATTTTGATATCTCAGTTCTGACTCCTTTTCTTTACTTGAACCCTCTGATGGTTTTTGGCAGGGAATTCAATTTATTGTTGATGACTCAGGAGGATTTTCTGGTGTAGCTGCTGAGTTTTTGGAGAATATTGCAGATGAATACACAAACATCCCAGTGTTGCTCTATGATGCACATGGTCCAGGCTCTTATATGAACCCAAGTAGCCAAAAACAGTCTGCCTTCCAGAATCTTCATGATGCTGTTTCATTTTCAAGACTATCATCCTATTGTAAACTGATTGTGCCTGTTGGTTTACCCTCCCTTAATGAACGTAAGTAATAATGTTTTGTTGGAGAAGATCACTTCTGATAATATTCTCTTCCTTATTATTTTTACCAAAATTAAATTTGAATAATTTTCCAGAGGTTCGGTTTGTTTTTGACATTACTGAGCCTTTTTTTGATCAACTCTGAGAGCTTGATATATGTGTGTGTGTGTGTGTGTGTTTGTGTTTGTGTGTGTATTTTCAGTTCTTGTAAGAGCTTCATATATATTGTTGGGCTGATCCCCAGAAACTTAAGCTTTTGTGCACCTGATTGTTGAACATGGCATAAGAGCTTTGATTCTGGAGGTCTTGGGTTTAAATCTCTTAGTTTCCATATGAGGGAGGGTTTAAGAGCTTGATGTGCACTAATTGGTTGGTTCCCTAACAGCTTAAACCCATAAAATGTCAGTGGTTAGTCTTGAGCTCTATAAACCCAAACACATGCACATAAATATCTTTTCTTTATATGTTCATTTTTTCCCCTCCTTTTTTCTGGATGACATGAACTGATCTTCTGCTTGAAATTATTGTGAAGGTAAAGCCACCAAGTTTCTCAGCATAGAGAACGAAAAGGCTTATCATACCAGTGCAGTTTATGCCTCTGCTTTACACTCTATTAGTCTTCCTTTTCGAATGGAACCACTTGGGCCCACTGATGAATCATGTTATGCATCTGGTGCTTTGGATGTGAATGGGGCCATACAAATGTTATCAGGTCAAGCTAGGCAGAATATGGTCACTATTTTGGATGTAGCAATGCCAGCACCTTCCCTGACTGGTATTATATTGCTCTGATTTTTTTACTTCATACCCCTTTTTGTAAGCGATGAGTCTTTGATGTTGTGAATTTTTAAATCAGGGAAACAGCTGGGGCAATCTTTGCTCGGGAATTTGCAACCATTGACCCCAGAGACGGCAGAAGATGTGGAAGACTTGCAAGCAGTGGAATCCATGACTATTCACGGAGCCCATGGATCAGGTATTATTTTTATATTCTTAGCATTAGGAAAAAACCAATTCCCGGCTAACTTAAAGACTAAATACGAAGTCTAACCTAGTTTTTCATGTTTGTACTCTCATCCCGATTATCATTAGGGAATATCTTGGCAAGATACAATTCACATCCTCGACTCCTTCAAATCTACCTATGCATAATATTGCCATATACTGGATATTATCTTCCTTACTGGTATTGGTTGAATTGGAAAGATGGCTTCTAAAGGCCAATTTACTAGTGCTACTTTCTTGATGACATAGAAGCAGTTTGCAAAAAATTCTACAATACTAGAGTGATTCATACAAAAGGCTGTCACAAACTGTCTGCTGCAAGAAACTAAGAGGGTTAGGTCAGACTGTATGGTTACTAGTATTTCTAGAGTTTAACTCTCAAGTTCAATGCTATCATCTTTATATTTCAAAGGGGAAGAACAAATCCTCATAATTGGATGTGCCACTAGGGATTATGGCTTGAAGTCAAGTTACATCTGTACTGTTCTTGATAATCATATTCATATCAAATTAAATATGGGATTTTTTTTTTTTGGAGTTTTGAGGGTCTTAAAAGTTTCCTGCCAAAATGGACCCAGCAGGAGTTTGATGGAACTTATAATTGACTTTCTAATTTGGATAACTTACAAAAACTCCTGAGAAAAATGTGGATACTACATTTTACATGGTATTGGTTTCTATTTACTAGAGCAAGAAACACAATTAAAGGAAAGGTCAAACAAAACAGAGAATAAGAGAGAAACTAATAGATGGAAACTAGAGTTCTAATCTTTCCTATGGTGCACTTTATGAAAGTCTACCATCATTAGTTGTTGATCCAACCAAGTTGTCTTACTATTCTGCTGCTTACCGAAAACCTGGAAATGCATTGAACTATTTAATTTATTTTTGTTTTAATTTCCATTTTTAGGTCATAGTGCTCCAGTTGCTGAGGTGAAGGATGCAGTTCAAGCTGCTTATGGGCAAGTGATGAGAAAGCCAAGGTTCTCTCATTTGTCTGTGGCCACTTGTCCTCTTCCAATACCCTTGCCTTTTCCTACAATCTTTGGGAGCCTTGTTGGACAACACGGTGAGCTGTTAGGCAGCCCAATTTCGAGTTACCCATCAAGAGGATCACTTGATGTCCATTCCATCCCCATGGCAGCAAGACTACGTTCAAGCACTGCTGTCTTGCCATTCTTGGAGAATCGGTTGGCGAACCTTCGCAAGTTTGGCATTCAGCGAGGGGCTCTTGGGAGTGAGGTAGTCAGAAGCTGGGGTTTTGGAAAAGATGAATTAGAAGACATTGGAGAGACACTGTCTAAGATGGTTACGACCCTTAAGCCTCATTCTGAAGTATCCTCCGATTCAGATTAAGTTTCTGGTGAGTGTCAAAATCCTTTGTGCTAATATCTTTTTCCTTTACCAAACAATAAAGTTGGGGGATAAAAAATTGCAACATGAGGACTTTTTTGTATTCTACTTTTGTAAAATTGATTACCCGGATAGTAGGATTGAGAAATTCCCATACTTTTACAGCATTATTGATGAAATTTTGTTGGTGGAAAGGCGTTTGTCCTTATTTTTTCTTCATCCTTCTGGGCTTGCTTACATTACGGTTTGTTTACCTTCTGCATTGTGTGCAGGTGAAGCTTTGTAACTGACCCTATAAATTGAGATTTCTGTAAAAGTTAATCTGGCACAAGTTGGTTCCCGGTGTTCTCTCTTTTGTTCGATGAACGCTCTGTGGTGAGAACATGTTAAATGGGGAATTGTATGGTAATCTGTCCACATCAAAGGTAAAACCATCAAAGAATTTGAAGATCAGTTTTCCATCATGGGAGACTGATGTACAAAGGTTTGCTTGTTAAAATTAGTGTTGTGTCTTGTTTATGAATTTTGTTATTTCGAAGTAGATCCAAATTCTGGTAGTTTTGAACAGCGTTGCCTTTTAATCTGCAACCTCTCTGTTGTTTTCTTTTTTGTTTTATTTTAACTAACACATTGAGTTTGGGATTGAAGAAAAAATTGTAAACCTTCATCTGTGAAGCACTAGCAGGGTTGCATCCTTGTGTATTGGTTTGTATTGGATTAACAAGTTGCTTTAAGAATCATTGACAACCTTCCAACATTTTCATTGTATTTTGACATGCTTGCAAGTCTGTTTTTAGTGGTCCTGAATCATTTTGTGAACTTTGGTCTACGGGTAATTACGGTCGGTCATGTAACAGAAGGTGAGTCTATTTTCTCCATAAAGTAGAAAAATACAGAAGGTGAGTCTATTTTCTCCATAAAGTAGAAAAGTTTGACGTCGTTTTTTTTGGGGGATAAATTACACTTCTAACTTCTTTTTTTTTTCTTTTGGTCTTGAAAAAAATACATTGAGTCCCGCAAGTTTAACATAATTACATTGGACTCTCTTAAGAGTTAATTGACATAACGCAACACCCTTTTCATTTGTAGTTTATTTGTTATATGAATTATAATTAAAAAAAAGGCACTCGGTTCATAAATTTAAATTGTAATTTTGTTTAGCGAGAGGTCTAGGCGCTGTATACGTTTGTCCAACAGGACAAGTTCAACTAAAATGATCAAAATACCCTTCTTTTATATATATATATCATATTAGTAGTCCCAAAACCCTAATAATCTCTCTCTCCTCAATGTACTCTCTGTGAGATTGTCTTTCCTCTCTCATTTCTTCTCTCTCCTTTTTAATTGTTGATCGCACCACCGTCGTTGACACCATTACTCTCTCTTTCTCTCTCTTTCTCTCTTTCACCTCTGTTTGTTGTCTCGTTTTCATTGTCGATGGCGGCGTGATGTCTTTTGATGACTTCGTCTTTAACTTCGTCAAGCTCTAGATTTAGAAGATTTGAAGATCGGCGACCTCTCTGCCGTTGCCTCTCTCTCAGGCTCGAACACTCTTGGCGGAGCAGATCGACTCGAGAGATCTATTGCAGATCTGACACTGTTCTTCTCTTACAGGTCGCCCTCTAGCCCTCTCTCACGGTACTTCCGATCTGAGGTAATATATATATATATACACTGGTTCTCAAGATCTTCACTATTGTTTTTCAAGATTTACACTGGTTGAGTTCTAATTTTGTATAGTCTCATATCTGGTTGTAGAAGATGATGATGATAAGTTATGTGTATGGGTGTGTGTTTGCGGATGATGTATCGGTTCAAATTTTTTATTTTTTATTTTTTTTTGTTGATGTTCATGATGATGAAACATATTTTTTTTTTAAAAAAAAAATTGACAGATAGAATAAATTTGTTCAAATTTTGAACATTATTTGTTCAAAATTTCAACAGATAATAAAATTTTAAATAGGTAGGACAATTTTGTTTTGAACATATAATAATATAAATTTTTTCAAAATTCAAACAGATGAGGGTTTGGTATTGAGAAAAGGCAGATTTAAGCACAAATATTGTGAATTTTTTTTTTCAAAGTTATCTAATTTTTAAAAGTTATGATTTGTTTGAAGCAGTGGGATATGCACAAATATTGTGAAAAAATGAACAAAAGTTGTCTAGATACAATTTTGTTCAGATAAAAGTTGAATATGTAGATATAATAAACTTGTGAATTTGAACAGATAAATTTTGAATTGATAAAAAATTAGATAGATAAAAGATTTACATGTATAAAATTTGGATAAATAGAAGATTTACATAAATAAAATTTGGACAGATAGAAAATTGAACAAGTAAAATTTGGACTGATAGAAAATTTGAACAGATATAAAATTTACACAAAAAAATGAACAGATAGACAAAAAAATTTGAACAGATAGATATAAATTTGAACCAATAGTCAAAGAAAATTCAAATAGATTAAAAAAAAGTCAAGGGATAAAATTGAAAACAAAATGTCCTTTAGGACTTCTCGCCAAACTATTTCACAAAATGTGGACCTCTTACCAACAAAAAAAAAAAAAAAAATCACTAGACCTAATTCCTTAAGACAATTGTTAAAGTAGATTTTTCACTAATTTTCTCATCAACAAAAAAAAATGATGCTATCTATTTTACATTAAAATATATTTTTTTGCCTTGTTAATCATTGTGTTTACATATTATTTGCATTAGTTTCGACCGTTTTAATTTTTTTTTATAAAAAATTATTATAATTATGTCAATTTTTTTAAAATTTATTATATATATATATATATATTTAAAATTTTAGAAATAGTTAATGTAATTTATGTTTCTATCTTTTTTTAATTTAAGGTTTCGTTTGGGAAGTAGGTTGATTTTTTGATTTTTTGACTATTTTAGTCTGGGCCTAAAAACCTTGTTTGGGTTGAGTTTTTTTTATTTTTTTGACTTTTATGAGAAAAAAAAAATGATTATGATTTGAATATTATATTTTATTTTATTAACCTTTTAACTTATTTTATTTATTTATTTATTTATTTTTGACTATTTTAGTCATATGCCAAACGAAAGGTAATCAAATATAATTGATGGATATCAAAGTGGTCCAGGTTGAGACAAAATGAACCCCCTGTTTTAAATGTTGCTGCACCACTTATTGAATGCACAAAGGATTTAATGCAAAGGGATGACAAAAGGAACAGTTCTGAGAAACCATAAAAATTGGTCAGTGTTTGTGTTGTCACATTTCAATTAAATTTCTTCACTGAAAATGGGAGTGTGTGATAGTGTCTGATGATAATCACTAATTCAAGGGGGTGCATAATAATCAAAGGCCAAGTCCAATCACTAAATAGGGGGCAGTGGTACACTGCATGTACCTGATGGCTACAGTGGTATATGCTCAAACAATGCAATGTAATGCCCTCATTAAAAACCCATTTGTCAATTGTTCTCCCTTCTTGGTCTATGTTTCTCCAAGGTCTCCAACAGATCCTAGTTTGACATATATAGCTCAATATTCCATCTGCAGCCTCTTGGCCATGTTTGGGGAAAGTGTATAAGAAATATATAGGCAATGCTTTTTTCTTTTTGTTTTGGTGGTGGTTGTTGTTGTTTGGTTAACATGTGTGAGAGAGAGAGAGAGAGAGAGAGAGAGAGAGAGATACAGAAAAGTATGAGAAGATAGAGATTTTTTAATTGGATTGGGATTCTCTTCGGTTCATCAGATTTTCAATTGGAGGGTGCTTGTTGGAGTTTGATGAGTCTATCATGGGACTCAATTGTTCATCTTAAGGTCTTTTTCAAATAGATCATTTATGTGAAAAGTCTAGTTGATCGAAAAATTACAGTCACGTAATTGTATAGCATTTGTTCTTAAACAATGAGCAGTCTATTTCTAATATCATACTTATCATTCATGTTTTGTAGAGAAATTTGATTGATCAGATGGTTACCATCATACTTGCCATCTCATTTACATGGTTGATCTATTCACAAAGTCATACAAGATGAGTAGTTTGAATCATTACAGAAGGTCATGTGTAGTAGGTCCCTAATAGCCCTCTAGTCTGATCAATTTTAAAATGTTAAGTATTTAAAATATATTCATCTTAGTTGTGACTTGCATACATAAAATATATTTTTTTGGTTACATAACATTTTTGCATGAAGAAATTTTGGGCAATTTCTTATTCAAATTTCAATTATGCCTTCTCTTTTCGTTAACTTTGCATGAAGAAACTTTTTTTAATTCCCTTTACGTAGGAAAAATATGAGGAAAATTTAATTTTAATTTTTTTGAAGCAATACTTCTAAACTCTAATATTTTGGGTCATATAGATAATAACAATTTAAAATATTATATTATTTCTATTTATCTGTCTATTTGTCTACTAGTCTACTTATTAATTAACCACCATCCGCTACCTCTGACTGTCACTATCAAATATATTCTACTCAATATATCTTACAAAGTAAACAATTCAAATTATTGAAATCAACCTTAAAATAAAGTCTCATAAACTGCACGGCAATGTGGCTATGCATGACACAAAAGCCACAAGCCCAAATTGCAATTGGTTTAGACCAAAGAAAAGTTTTTTTTGAAGCACGACCTAAACTCACACCAGAATTGAATAATTTCTCAGGCTAATCTCCAATCTCTTTCATAATGATTTCCATCTCTCCAGTAAGTCTTCAATGCGTGGGGTTTATGTATAAGTAGACTTTTGACTAATACATACAACTTTTTGTTAAATCTGCTAAGCTTTTATCTCATGTGTACACACAAAGTCTGTTCTCACTTTATGCATGTATATGTGCACCAACCAGTAATCAACAATCAAAAACTACAAAAATTAATATAAAAAAGTTAATTAATTGCATACAAGTAGTCTCTTTTTCTTGCGTGCAAGTTAACACATGCAATTGGTCAGAAATGGCATGTTTTCTTAAATATATAATTTCAGGTTTCAAATGCCATTGACCATAATAATGTCCTCACATCAGTTAGATAATTTAGAATTAAAAAAAAAAAGAAAAAAGAAGCAAAACTCTACCAACAAAAGAAAGTGTTATAATCATCAATAATAATATTATGATATTAACATTTTTTTTTATTATATTTTGTTTATTATGTAATTGTTTAAGAATATTAATACATATTAAACTAATACAATGATAATGCATGAAATGATAAATAATTTTTTATACATAAATATAATTATTATAGAACTATGGTAAAAGTAAGTTTTGCAAAGAAAACTGGAAATTACAGTAAACGAGACTGAGAAAATTGAAATAAAGTTGTCTACCCACTACTTCTCTCAAATTAGCTTGCAATTGCAAGAGTTTTGTGCATTGGGATATACAAATAAAAGGCTATTTAGATATTGACTAATTTGCTTATGACTGGAATTGTCAAAAAAAAAAAAAAAAATAATAATAATAATAATAATAATAAAAAAGTGACCTATTGTTTTGCATGGTGACATTCAATACAACCATTGGCTTCGGAGGAATGGTTGATACCGAATTTTTGACTTCCAATATTTAATCCTATTGTTAATAATTTGATATGTTTTAATTCACATAAAATGATATTATTATTTCTTTCCTGTTAAAATATATATTTATTTTTATTTATTTCAATATTTAATTACTATTGTATTAGTTTCGGTTGTTTTAATTATACTAAAAAAAAGTAAATATAATTATATTAAAAGTGTATGACTAACTTTA